ATAAAACTTATTCTGGCGCAACTGTATATGTATATGTGCATGCTGGCCAACACGTATAAAAGCCACACGCCTGCTCATGGTATAAAATTATTCTGGACACACACTCACTTTTGATAACCATTCAAAACACAATTCAAAACACTCTTAACCAGAATCAACAAGCAATGCAGACCTTTGCCAACATCTTTGGAGCCTCCGACTACAAGTCCGTCATGGTGACTGGCGGTGATATGTACAGCGGGTATGTGATAGCGCGCGAGATGCTTAAGGAGAACCACAAGCACTTCAAGCACGTGTGTGTCGGCTACTATGAGGAAAATAAGTTTATCAAGTTGCTCAAGAAGGACGGTGCCGAGGTCATCCAGCTGTGCGTCGACGATGCCAACAAGATCGTCGAGGTGTACCGCAAGGCTGACGTCGTCATTGTTGTGCCGCCCGTCAATGAGCACCGTTGGGGTGCGTCCAGCGTGGCATACGTGCTTGCGGCCAAGGAGGCCGGCGTCAAGGGCCTGGTGCTGTGCTCCAAGATCAACGCCAAGGATATGCGCGACATGGATTTCCTGGCACCGCTTTGTGAGATGGAGGAGGCGTTTGACCGCATCAAGGACAGTATGGATGCGGCGTCGCTCGTGCGCTGCTCGCTGCACATTGACATGATGTGGCTGTTCCGCCACCAGATTGCTTCTGAGAAGAAAATCTGCCTGTCGGTGGATCCCCATGCCAAGTTCGCGCCCATGGCTATGATGGACGGAGCGCGCGGCTTGTGCAACATGTTGCTCGACCCCAAGCACAAGCCGGGCACCTACGAGCTGACTGGCCCCGAGAAGCTTAGCTTCAAGGACATTTCCCACCAGATGAGCAGCGCTGTCGACAAGAAGATCGAGTACAAGCAAGTCAAACATGAGGAGGTGTACGAGTACCTCAAGAAGCGCGGCGAGATCAGCAAGAACGAGATCGAATTCATGTGCCACATGCTCAGGGCTGTGTCAAAGGAAATTATTGACAAGCGCACCGACGACCTGAAGAAGCTACTGGGCGAAGAGCCAATGTCGGTCAAGCATTTCCTCAAGAAGAGCGCCGACGAGTTCAAGCCCAAGGATGGCGAGTAATTTCGTCGGCAGGGCAACTAAGCTCTTTCTTTTTGATGTGGTGCTCGACATTGTTTTACCCTGTGCTCTATTATTTATTCTTTCTTTAGTGTCTAGTTGCTTCCATCTGTTTTTTTCCTTTATGCTGCCACTTATTTGCTGTTTCCCATTCCGCATATGTTCTAAAATGTCTGGCAATCCCTAAACAGAATAATCAGAATCAGCAACAACAGTAACAATAACAGCGGCAGAAACAGTCGCGTGCTCCTTGAGGAAAGCAATTTTTTATTAAAGTTAGTATAAACAAATAAATATTGTGCCACTAATAGCCCACACAATAAGCCCAGAAACAACATTCAATAGCAAGCGATGTCAATCAGTGACGTCGTCATCGTAGCACGAAGATTTTTCTTTGTGTGATTGCGCGCGCTTATTTATTTATTTTTATGTTTACGCTTATATCTGACAATAATGCATTGGGCGAAAAGGAAAATAAAAAATGATCAGGAGCAAATGTTGATTTATTTTATTTACGACTTTTTCGTCTTGTCAATGTTTATTTTTATTTTTATTATACATTTATATATTTTCGAATGACAAATAGCCCAAACTGGAACTGAATTCAACACGACACATACAAAGCACACGCACACCGGCTTTCACAGAATCATCACAGCATCCTAGAGCAGAGTAGCGCAGAATTGCCAGTCGGAGTTTGTATTCCCTTCGTTCCTTCTAATCGACAGCGAATTGGAATTATTCAACTGCTCTTCCAGCCAAAAACAGGAGCAGGATTAACAACAGCCTTTATATTTTACACTTAAACCAGACGCGCGCGCGTGAGCACAGGCATGTCCGATAGAAGCAGCCCAGCTCCGACTCAACCGACTTTCGGCTCCGACTCTGCGCAGAGCTTGTCGTCACCACAATCAGCGTTTCCCAGGACGACGACAAAGGTAATATAATAAAAATGCACGATTACTTTTACTCCCACTCCTACTACATCTGGCCCGAGCACTCGCTTTTTTCCAGTTACGCAAAAAGGAAGAAAAAACATTGCTGAATGATTCCCTAGTCCCAGACACTCTACACCAAACTGAACTGAATGCCATTTTTATTTTGTCCCTAGAGTGGCGCGGGTGATAGGTTTGACGAGAACACGACAACAGGCAGCCGGATGCGACGCACCAGCAGCGCCGACAATGACTTTGTGCAAGTATCAACGATTCCCATCACAAAGCCCGCAGCCCAGAGCAGCACAATCATCGAAGGCCGGGGGCGGCCAAAGTCGCGCAGCCAGCATCTGACAAAGTTTGCGCCGCTGGCAGCATCAGCATCAGCATCAGCATCAGCATCAGCGGCGACGATCCACCAGCTCAACGTCCACGCGGGTGCTAGCTGCAACAGCAGCAGCAGCAGCGAGATGACAATTGTCGAGCTGCAGCAGCGTTTGGAGCTGATGACGCGCGAGAAGATGACCCTGGAAAGCGCAATCGAGCAGGAGCAGGAGCGCGTGTTCAACCAGAACAGACGGATGAGCGGCACGCTGAGCCCTGTAGCATTGGTGCCTGCAGCTGGTGTCGGGATCGGCGCTGGCGCCATATCGCCTCGCTGGGCCACGTCGCACTCGCGGTCGTCGTCGGTGTCGTCGTTCGGCGCGACCAGCGTCAGCTCGGTGGGCATTACAGAGACGCTCAAGGCAGATGTCAACTCGCTACGGCTGCGGCTGGCCGACACAGAGCGCGAGCTCGTGTCGTGCTACAACCAGAGCCAAATTTATAAGAAGGAGCTCGTGTCGCTGCGGCAACGGCTGGGTATGGGCGTTGACGACCTCTATATGGACGATCCAGTGCCAATCAGCATTCGGCCCGTGTTGTCCGACCACACGGCGCGGCCACGGCGCTCGCAGTCGGTCAGCTCAGGCGTCAGCAGCACAGTGAGCACGCCGGTGCTTGTGCGGCGCGGCTCGGGGCATCACCACGAGTACTTTGGACTGCTACCGGCAACAGCCAGCGGGGCGCTGTCTGCTGGCACGTCTTCTGCGGCAATAGGCAGCGGCAGCGGGGCGGGGTCAGCAGCTGCGCCTAGGCGCATCTCGCAGCGGCCGCACAGTGTGCTGCTGTCGCCGCGGCGGTCTATGGAGGACCACCACGCGCCGGCCGCCGATTCTGTGTCGCTGTTTGCGGCAAAGTCGGCAGCAGGGCCGCCGCAGCGCACATCGCGCGGCTTCAAGTAGCAATGCTGGTGGGGAGTGGGTCTGAACCTTGGTTCTTTTCAGAGCTTGGGGTTTCTCGCCCCGCCCGCTCCTAGCACATACACTTTTATTTACACTTTAGCTTTATTTCTTCAAAGGGCTGCCAGCTTGCCTTGCAATTTTAATATAATATTTCAACCCCAAATCCAAAAAAGCAACAAACTAACCAACTAACGGGCACACTTTGCAACTGCGGCCCGTACCTGATGTACATCATTATATTGCGATCCACGAGCCACCACAAACACACAGCAAGCGGAAGCGGTCGATCCAGCCAATATCGTTGCTGGCCGCAGATGCAGAGCTAGCAGAGTCGCTGGTGTTGGTAGCCGCTCCGCTTGTTGTCTGCTGCTGCTTGCGGGTGACATGGCCGCAGCGCAGGCACATCTTGGAGGAAGCGTCCACAGGAAGCATTGTCTTCTGAACGACGTCGATGCGATCCATGGCGCTGAGTAGCGAGGCATGGTTCATAAAGTTGCGGGACCTGGCTCCAGACTCGGCATCGCCTGCAGCTCCCAAAGCTGAGCCAGAATGCGCAGGTGCAGCAAGTGGGTCGATGACCACACCGTCAGCCCGCGACCAGTCAATGCAGTAGGACATCCCGTCGCCGTTGATGTCGATACCGCTGTCGTCGGTGTCATCGTCGTTATCATCGTTGTCATCGTTGTCGTCGTTGTCGCCACTTTTGCCGCCGCCGCCGCTGCCACCGCCGCCCACTGCTGCGGGTGCGCGCGTGCGTTTCTGATGCAGGACAGCCAGCGAGTAGGCGTGCTGGCCAAGAAGCGTGGGGATGTGCAGCTTGGGGTCGCGCGGCGTGCTGATGAACTGCCACCCCGACGACAGCTCCTCACTGGCACCGGCACCGGCGGTGGCGGCCCAGGCCGACGCGACGCTAGAGTAGTGCGGCACAAAGTGCTGAGCGGATGCCGACCCTGACGCCGATGCCAACGCAAAGCCGGGAGCAGCGCCAGGCGGCGGCCAAGCAAAAGAGGCTGTCGTGTGGGGTGTCGCGCACGGCGAGTGCGTGGTGGCTGAGCTCGAGCTCGAGCGCGCGTGCATCCGAGCGGACGAAGAGGTATCAGCGGCAGTGGCAGTGGCAGCGGCGGCAGCAAACGTCGAGTCAAGCAGCGCCGGCATGTCAAACAGGCCGTCAATGTCAGCGGCCAATGACCGCGCGGCAGCGGCGGCGGCTAGCGGCGCCAACACATCGGAGAAATCCGGGACACGCGTGGTGATCCTGACGGGCGCCTGGGCAGCGGCGTGCGCGGCGGCAGCGGCAAAGGCAGGCGGCACCGACTCTGGCGGCGGGTGCAGCGGTTGTGCGGCATCGGACGTGTCGAAGAAAATAAAGCCGGGGTCGTCGATGTCAAACAGAACGTTGTCCTCGTCCAGCGCGCGCTCAAACTCACTCTTCTCGCGCGCCCACGCGACCAGCTCGGCGGCCGGCACCAGCGCGTCGGCGTCGGCGCCGGCGACAATCAGCCGCGCATCTGCGACGGACACCGGCAGCCGCACGCGCCACGGGGTCTCAAAGACCGTCGCTGCATCAGGCAGCCCGGGCGCGGCCGCGCGGCACGCGACGACCGACAGCCAGCGCGTGTCGTGCAGCACCAGCGCGCTGGGCGCGGCCGGGCGGTTGGCCGGCGTGTCAGGTGCGGTCGCGTCGCGCTCAAGAATGAAGCGCTGAAAGCTGCGTGCGACGCCCGGCAGGTGCTTGCGAAACGGCGCGGCGAGGGCGGCCGACGCGACCAGCACGGCCTGTGCGCCCAGCGCCGTGCACTCGGGGTCGGCGGCGTACTCATCGTGCACGGCCGCCAGAAAGTCCTTCATGCGCTGCATGCTGACGGGCAGCGCCTCCAGCGCGTGCGCCAGCTGCTGCGCCGTCGTCACGACCATATCGCGCGCCTGTACCATCGGCGCGAGGTCGGCGATGACTGCGGCGTTGGGTGGCAGACTGTTGAGAATCTGGATGCGCCGCAGCAGGTCGCCCTCGACCTGCGCCACGAACGCCATCAGCCGACGCATCGCATCCAGCGTCGGCAGGTGGAACAGCAGGGCCAGACGGCTGGGCAGGCTGCCAGCGACAACCTCGGCGTCGGTGCTATCGTCCGTGTTATCGTCAACTCTGGCGTCCAGGTCACACAGCCGCTGCATGGCGCCGGCGCCGTCGGGGCAGCGCGCGTGCAGGTACAGGTACGTGTCGCGCACCAGCGCCACAAACAGGTCGATGCACCACAGCACCAGTGCGGCCGTGGCCGGGAACGAGCGGCGCCATGCAGCCGAGAACTCCAGCTGCTGGTGCACTTGCTGGTGCGCCAAGCCGGACGCAGCGCTTTGCAGCACCTGCTCGTGCACGATCGACACGCGCGCCTCGACGGCTGCGGCAATGTGCAGCAGCAGCCCGACCGATGTGGCCTGGATGCTGTGCTGCGCCAAGAAGTGCGTCTGCATTATGGCGCCCAGCAGCCGCCGCACCACCGGCGTTGACGCGGCCAGCGGGTCCAGCTCCAACGACGTGATTCGCAGCGCCGCGCTCAGCAGCGTGCACGCGCGGAGCAGCGCCTGAGCCAGCGTGCGCGATGCCGGCACTGGCAGGGCAGTGTTTTCAGTGGTGGTGTTGGGCGGCGGCTGCGGCAGCGGCTGGTTCTCTTCGTGCCGCGCAATGTTGGCCAGCAGCGCAACCAGGTCAGTCGGGTCCTCTTGGTTGAGAATGCGCACGGCCAGCAAGTCACCGCAGTACGCCTGAACCGGCGCATCGCCGAAGAATGGCGTCCAGCCCAGCCGGAAGCGCGCGTGGCCCTGCGCCCACACGCACGTGACGGGGCCGTTGTTAGTGCCGGCGCCAGCGCCAACGTTGACCGTGCGCTCAGCCATCACCAGCTGGAAGTATGCCGTGTAGTGCGGGCTCAGCGCGCTGCCGATGATGCGCATGTGCGTGTGCGTCTGCGCCTGCACCGGCGGCACGCATTGGTCAAAGCGGTCGACGCGGTCCTGGTAGTTGCGAAGCATCTCGACGCGGCCATCGGCCCACGTCAGCATCAGGGCGCGGTACTCGGTGTCGCTGGGCCTGGCAAACAGTCGCCGCAGCTGCTGGCGCTCGGCGCGGTTGGCGTTGACCGCCAGCAGCGTGCCACGCCGCTGCTCGGTCCACATGTGCGACAGCTTGAGCGGCGGCGGCCGACGCAGCAGGTCAGCCACCGAGCGCTGCGCGTGCGCCGCGGCCTCAAGGCGCCACACCTGAACAAACGTGTCGAAGGTGGGGAGTGGGTCGGCGTTGGAGGTGGATTGCAGCTGAGGGCCGGCGGACTGCGGTTGTGGGTCGGCAGATTGCGGTTGTGGGTTGCCGACGCGTCCCAGCGACACGAACAGCAATGGGAAAAAGTGGTTTTCGCCTAGCACGTTCTTGTCGACCGGCAGCGCCTCGGGGTTGAGCGCTGTGATCAGCTTGATGTGCGTGACGCGCGGCACGCGCAGGTCCTCAGCGCCGGCCTCTGTCTCCGCCATCGCCTCTGCCACCGGCGCCTCGGCTGCTGTTAATGTGATCGGCTGCACTACCAGTGGCGTCGCGAACAGCCGCGGGTGGTAGTCCGACGCAAACTCGACTTGGACGCGGTAAACCTCGACGGTCGGCGCAGTCATGGCGCCGCTGCGCTTCAGCTCGTCGGCAATGGCACCGCGCTCGTGCGGGTGCGCCACGGTTCTGGCGCCAGCACGGTGTGCGGCCAGGTAGATCCACTTCTTGGATACCAGCATCATGTCTGCGTGCGTGATGGCGCCCGTTGGGATGTTGCTCCACGGGTCGTCGTCCACCGATGCGTCGCGCCGCCGCGGCGACAGTGGCGACACCACGCGCGCCCACGCGTCGTCGCGCTGGTAGACGAGCACCAGCTGTCCGTCGGCCGTCGCCACCACCAGCGCCTGCTTGCCGTGTGTGTTGCGCGGCCCAAAGAACGCCAGCCGCGAGATGCCGATCGCCGTGTCCACGTGCCAGCGCGACGGCCGCTCGCTAAAGCCAGAGCCGGAGCCGGAGCCGGAGCCGCCCTCAGCGTCGCCCTCAGCGCGGCCAATCCCAAACTTGCGGCCGCTGGCCAGCCAAAGGCACGCGACCACCGGGCATCCAAAGTCGACGCGGTATGCCGGCCGCCACGCGTT